CTCTCCTTCCTCGTCTGCCCTTCTTCTTCTCCTCCTCCTCCTCCTCCTCCTCCTCCTCTTCCTCCTCCTCTTCCTCCTCCTCTTCCTCCTCCTCTTCCTCCTCCTCCTCCTTTTTCCACCTCCTGTTTGGAATGTTCTATTCGCCCCTCTTGCTTCTTACGACTCTGTCAGCCCCTGCCCGACCCCAAGCTCGAACCAGACCATGAAAGTTGGGATGTTATATGGTACGACTACAAGGTGCGCTTGAGATGGTCGGCTGAGACAGTCGCTGACGCTTGTCGTCCAGCCGCCGAACTTTGACTGTCCCCTTCTGCTGTCCTCCCCAAGAGGTAACCACATTCCGCTCGCTCCTGCTTCATGTGTTGTGCCCTTTCACGTTGCCTGTTGTCTCCGACTTCTGCGATGATTTTTATTATTGTCATGATATCCATCCAATGTCTACGGTCATCATCATCATCATCATCATCATCATCATCATCATCATCAGCAGCAGCAGCAGCAGCAGCAGTAGCATCGTCGTCGTCGTCGTCGTCATCATCATCATCAGCAGCAGCAGCATCACCACTACCAACAACAACAACACCAACAACAACAGCAGTAGCAGCAGCAGCAACTCTCATCTCACTCTCATCGTTCTCGTCTTCTTCCTCCTACCTGACGATGTGACGATGTTGTCCAGGAGCTTCAAGGCAAGATATTGCCAGAAAGGTGAGGACTACTGCTGCTTTATCCGTATGCTGATGATGCGCAGGTTGCACGAGATATGGAGACTGAGGTGAGGAGAAAGAAATCAGTGAAAGTTAGTGTTGAGGCAATGAGGAATCCAGGAATGGGGTAGGAGATGGTTGGTAGGAGGATGAGATGAAGAAATTATGAGATGAGAGGAGGAAAGGAGAATGTGGAGAAGAAAAAGCGAAAGAGATGAAAGGAGATGAAGATAAAGATGCCCAGCGTCAGGATGACTTGGAGTGAAGACGCAAGGTATTAACTGCTGATCGTTTGCAGGCGAGATTGAAACATGCGGGAGGAAAGAAGGAGGAGAAGGAAGTGAGGAGGTATTGAGATGCAATGGGGTCTTGTGCGTGTGCGACTGAAGTTTTCAACCTCAAGATCGTCGGTGGTGCAAGTGAACGCAAATGCTGAAGAATCAGCGGAAAGTCAAGAGGAAGACTGAGAAGTGCAATGGGCAGGGCACGTTCAAGACATGGGAGCTTGATATGTTTACTTGAAAGATGATTGTTGAATGGTACAAGTGAATTCAATTGACTGCCTGGCGATGTCTCGATGCTGTGAACAAACTGAGGTCAAGATGTCTACCAACACAAACAGGTGTCAGCAGGTATCACCTGAAGCTATCAGCATGTGTTGGCAAACATGTTGGTCAATTTCTGTATGAGGACATTGAAGACAGGGGATGCGACGTAGAGGGACAGGCGAGCAAAACTCTTTGGCATGCCGAAATACTCGCCATCTCGGCATTTCATGCCATACGATCTCAGCATATCCCCGCAGCTGCGAATTCGATCAACAATGGATGCGATGGGGAGGGGAGGGGAGGGAGGAAGGGCAGAGAAAGGAGGGCAGAGGACAGGGAGGGGAGAGAAGAGGGGGGGGGGGAGAGGGGAGGAGAGGAGAGGAAGGGGAGAGAGGAGAGGAGAGGAAGGGAGGAGAGCAGAACCGCAAATGGGAAGTAGGATACGAGGGAAAGAGACGCATGAGATGAGGACAAGGGCAAGGGAACTCGGGGGTCAGAAAGCTTGCGAGCCAACCTCTTCTGATCAGGGAGGTTGAGACATTCCATCCATAGGTAGGGAGGCGTCTGTTTGTACACTAGCAGAAGATCAGAACTATCCAACAGTGAAGGACAGAAGAGGGAGAGGGAGAGCAGGAGGAGGAGCAGCGGGAGGAGCAGCGGGAGGAGCAGCGAGGCAGATGGGAGGTGGAAGAGGAGCAGAAAAATTGAAAAGGGGAAAGAAGTTGCTGCGAGGCATGAAAGAAGCACGTGCAAGACAATGAGCAAGCGCATGGGGAAGAGAAGGAGAAGCAAGGAGAAGCAGCGAAGGATGCAGGGGAGGATGGGACAGGAGGAAAGCAGGAAGGAGGAGGCAGGCTGGTCTTAGATGCTATCTTCCAACCTTTCTGATCATATCGATCGTATCCTTCGGCGCGAGGGTTCCTGACCTTGTAGCAGGAGACATTCCTGAACACTTCGCCTATCCTCCCCCACCTCTCAGTGAACTTTGCCCTCCCCCACTTCATCAGCTCCCCTTGTGTGCTCAGCACATGCTCGATCGCCCTGATCGCTACCAACTGACTTTCCACCGGACAGCCGATGGGGCATGCCATGGCCTGCATCGCGTCCGCCAGCTTCTTGTCCCCTACGAGAGCCCAGCCAACGCGGGAGGAAGCATGCCCAGTTACCTTGGACAGAGTCCATAGGGAGAGGGGATGAGCAGAGGTATTGAACGGCTGGTCGATGAAGGTGTACATGGGCCAGCTATAGGCCTTGTCGAAGACTGTGAGAGGATGGGAAAGAACACCCGTCCTGATCTCTCCGTCTGGGTTGTTAGGAGAGGTCACATACTCGACGACCTTCTCGTCCGCTGCTGCCGTCGTCCTGTTCTCCTCGTCGCCGACGAACTTGACGAGGTTGGCGTAAGAGAGGGATGAGTAGCCCGAGTAGAAAGGCTTCTGGGCCCAGACCTTGAGAGGAAGACTGTTGGTAGAGCTCTGCAGAATCGTGGATACCAAGGTCAGGAGCGGGGTAGAGCCGTCACCAAAGACGATGTTCATGTTGTCCGTAACTGCGTTCCCCGCTAACTTGTGCAGCTTTCTTATGCCCTCCTCTAGCCTGCTCCTGATACCAGCAGGGAGGTATCCTAGACGCTCGGATAGCTTCATTTGAAACTCCGTTTCAGGATACCGCACCCAGTACTCGGCAAACATGTACGGGCTCCCTCCGTTGGCGTCGATGCTGCACTTGTCCGCTCCAACAAATGTTTGGCAGCGGGCGCCTGTGTAGCAATCCATGCATGTGCAGTTTGTCTCTCCAGTGTACTTGTACCCTTGATTGGAACAGGCGCTCATGGTTTCGTCCACCACCTTGCTCAGCTCTGTTGAGATAACCGGAGGGGAGGGGGCAGGAGCAGGAGTGCTTGGAATCGTTCCTGAGATCTGACAGAAGAATTCTCCTATACTGGATGCTTTGTTTGCTGCTTTTGCCGCCAGCAATGCCGTCGAAATGCCAAGGGACAGCGTGCAGAGAAGGAGGACCCCGATCACTACGTCCTTCCATACCTTCCACCATGAAGTCACGAAGTATGGGAGGAGGTCAGGCAGCAGCAAAGAAGGGAAAGACCATTTGAGAGTAAGACTTATTCCAAGCATGCACTCATGAACATGTCGATAGCGCACAGAGAGCGTGGAGAAGGAGGGGATGGACCATGAAACAGTATGATTGGACTAACGAGACGTGAAGGCAGGAAGTAGCTAGAAGATAGACAAGACAAGGGCGTGTCCAGGGACGAGAGGAAGGAACGTGTAAATAGCATCTCTACCTCCTCCTCCTCTCTCACCTTCTTCCCTCCCTCCTCCTTCTCGATCATCCCAGTTTCTTCATCTTCGCGCTCCATATTTATGTGTACCTTGTCGAGAACAACCCACGCTCAACCCACTGTTCATACCACCCACCCCACATCCAATTGTACCCTACCCCAATATTGGGGCAACATCTTTCCGAAATCTAGCTATTCCATCATATCTCATATTTTACCTATGGATACTATTAGAGAAAAATAGCTGTGTGGTACCCGATCTTGTCAATATTTCTAGTACCCTCTTTCAGAAGTACCCCTACCGATTCTGTGCCAGATTAGTGACCCACCTTGTCTCTTATCAGGAAAGACTCAAGCTTGAAGCCGTAGAGGAGGATCATAGGAAACAAAGGATGGAGAGGACAGGAGAGGAGACGAGGGGAGGGAGGGGAGGAGAGAGGAGGGGGGAAGAGAAGATGAGAGAGGATAAGAGGATGGGATTGGGAGAGGAGGAGAAAGGGGGACGAGAAGAGGAGATGAGGGTGAAGAATGGGCAGGACAAAGGAAGGGGAGGAAGACGAAGCAAGAGTGTTGCCGGAGGCAATAATCTCTTCAGCGCTCTCCATACTAACCATCTTCGTGTATTGATTCTTTTCATTGCGACAGGTTTGATTGAAAACAGCTGTCCCTCCAAGTTGGATATTGCGGTCTTGCGTCGATGCGACGATTCTTCCCATATGTTCTTCTAAATACACCTGATACGCGTCCCTCTACGCATCAAACGCCTCTGGCTCTGCTGCTGCATTGAAATTCTAAGTGCGTTCAGAGCAATGATCCTTGTAGGGAAGATGCCGTTGTCGCCTTGACCTCTGATCAGCTGTACTGACAACGAGGAAATGGCGATGAGAGCACGACCCGAAGAAGGCTGTGATGAAGATCTGACAGGGTTGGGAAGTACTCCTTTCGTGTACACTGGAGGTTGTTGGTTCCTGCCGGAACCCACTTTGTACTCCTCTATCATGAGAAGCCGAGCAAGTGCGATGGCCTTGCCAGCGACGTCTCGACGTTGCCTGCATTTGCTGGTCGTGCACACATGGCCCCTGTAAGTCGAAGCTTCGAGGTCAATCCTCGAGGTCAGAGGAGCTAGAGCAGCTGTTGCTCAGCGCAATAGCTCTGCCGGCATCCACTCGCTCCCTCATCAACGCGAGCCTTCACGCAACTGCCGAAGGCTTGGGCTTCCTGTGTGCAGCTCGAACTTATACGACGGCAACAGTCTAAACCCACCCTCCTGTCCAATCAACATGATAGGTGTAGCAAAATGTAGCTTCCGTTCCTGTCATAGAGGTCGCTCTTGCCTGCTGCACGTAAGCACGTGAACTAGACTTGTAGCTCGGAAGGAGCCAGAGGGCAAGCATTTGACGAGATGCAAGTAACTGTATTGCCATTGCATTCACTCTCGCAATCAGAGCAGACAGAAGGAGTGATAAAGTTGCTTATGACTAGTAGACATTCGCCACTGTTTATCCAATAGTAACATCAAGCAGACTGGAGACTTCTTGCTTTTGCAGCCAACCTCTGATAAGCACTTGGTGTGTTGTACTCTCCGATATTGTGACGATTTAACAGAGACGGAAGGGCGAAGAAGATCGTTACCATTCAGATGATCAACTAACATGCCCGTTTGCCTCATATCTCTTCCTATCAATGAAGCAATCTTAAGCTAGCTGCTTTTCTTGGTTAAGAAGGGCCGGAATCCCGGCGATGGCTTTTGCTCGTCATACAACGAGCAACCAATGAATCTATAATCGAGATAGAAAATTTGCTCAAATTGATGCTCTGCATTTGAAAAATCTGATTTTGTTCCATGCACTCTCCCTTCGCAAGGGACCTCCTAACTCGAAATCAAGCTAATCACTATGTCGAACAACACACAGGACATCATACTTGGGCTTCACAAGAGACGTTCTGATGTTTTGATGCAATCAAAGGAACAATTCTATCAACCACATTTGATGAGCGCAACAAATGCATGATAAGCAAGTTTTCAAGCTGGAAATGTAATTTACAATCAGGTGGTCTTCAACCACGATGTCTCGGACTTCTTCTTCGACTTCTTCTTCTTGATCGTCTTTTTGACCCCATCCATCTCCATTCCGCTCCTATTGCGAGCTGCGTCGCGCTCCATCTCTAGCTCTTCTCGCTGTTTTTTCTCATATTCCTCTCTTTCGATCGCTCTCTGCCTACAAAGCCATGGGTTAGTGCTGCCACCCCACAGCGCATCGATCTTCTTACCTTTCCAATTCTTCAGGAGGGCACGATAGAGGATTTCCGACGCCTCCTCGCCTCATATCATCTCCTGTAACTCCGCCTGGGAAAGCCAGCGCAAACGCCTGGCAGCCCATTCGCGCATCCTTCCTCCTGGGGTCCCTCCGGCGAGCCTCGGACTCCGGCGTCTCGGGAGGACGGACAGGGAGAGGGAGGTCCTCTTGGGTGAGAGAGAGCTTCTCTGCTAGGAAGGGCTGCAGCTTCTCTCTCTTGATCGTGCGGAACCGCCGCTTGATCTTGCTCCTCAAACTCTTGCCCATGGCACGTGCGCTGAATCAGGAGGCGATGAGGTTGTTTATTAGTTCACGCCGCCGCCGGACGATGCCGGGCCGGGCTCCGAGCCCCCGGGCACTGGCTTGAAGTAACTTGAAAGCTCACTGTACACCGTGGCACCGTGGCACCGTACGGTCGGACGGTCGCCGCGTACTGCCGGGCAGGCCATACCGTACGGCGATCATCAGAAGCGGCCCGGAAAAGAGATCCGATACAGTGCGTCTCATTCCGAGTTCCTTCGAGGGCGGCCACCGGCGTGACCGTGACAGCGGCGATGGCGAGTGACTGAGTCGCTCAGCGGCTCCGAGTCAGCTGGCACAGTCAGTGGCCGGCGGGCCCCGGGGAATTGTCCTGCCGGTTTGCCACCGTTCTCCGAGGCTGTCTAAGTTTCTCTTCTCGCCGTTTGGCCTGCCACGCGCCGACAGTCACGGCCAGGGCCGGTCACAGTGAGCCTCCTCGACTCTCCTGATTGTCCTCGTACTGATCTTTAACTTAACTTTGCACGCCGTGTCTGCTGGCCGAGGGCGGCGATCGGCGGCCGGGACGGGCCCGGCCCGGCGACTCCGGAAGCACGGTGCGGCCCAACCAGGCCCGGGTCACTGAGTTGACGTTCTCAGTGAAACTGAACTTTCGAAAGGCCGCGCTTCGCTGCCGGGCGGCGGCCATCATGGCATGATCGCGGGCCGAAGTACTAGCCGCTGAGCGGCTCTGTCCGAGTCGGGCACCGCCGGAGGCCTGAGGCGTGGCCGCAGTGACGTGTTGAAAGGGTTTGGCCGGGCGGCATGGTCGTATGCCACTGCCAGGCTGAGAGTCAACTTCAAGTTGAGTAAAGGATCATGACGGCTGAGTGGCAAACTTGAACCATAAACCCTAATTCCTGGCAACCAAGTTGCTCTCTTTAAAACCCTTTAGAGTACCCTCCGACTACTCTCTGGGCCTGATTGTCCTCGTACTTGATTTTCACGAGGTTGAGGGCGTGCCAGTCACGGACATGGTAAATGTTTAACTTGCCTTAACTTTGAGTAAAGAATCATTATTCTGTACCAGGCTTGAAATTGGCGGGCGTACGACACTGTAACTGGCAGCGTGACACGGGTGAGTCCGCAAGACGGTCGTACTGATTTTGTACTGTTTGATGACAGGACTTAAAGCCTTGGGTTTAACACCAGTCCTGTAAGGCTCCAAAAGAAGTCTTTTGATACTAGACATATTTGAAAGAGATTGTTTTCGGATGGAATGAACACACTATACAAGACTTTTAGAGAAATCCGTTATCCTGGACCCACCCGCTCATGCACCTGTTTCGTTTTGCGTAAGATTGTTCGAAATGAGGGGGTACAGCTGGCGCCTTAACTCATTATACCCCCTTTCTATTCATACAAAGTACCGGTCATTGAAGGCAATTTCATAGAACGACTGATTTTGGAGGGGTGGGGATGCCAAGGGGTAGGGGAAATGTGAACTGATCCGATAGTACTGGAGGGTACACAGTGCTTCAAGCCAACAAGCCCATCCTGAATGACCCACATGAAGGTCGTCAATTCAATATATCATATACTATACCCAAATGCATAACATACCCACCTAGACATAGTGTTTTCAACTTTCGACCATACCAGACTACCCCCACCCCATAACAAAACATTTAAATGTTATTTTAGTTTTACTTACCTCTACGACTGCCATCAGGGTACATGGACTACCCCCACCCATCCTAAATCCACCTTGCAAGTGACTACCCACCCTGTATCGGACATTCCGTCCGTTTCTGTCACCCCCTGATCCCCCTTCATTCCCATATCAAATTCCACCACCCGGGTCACTTAACCCCACCTCCCTTTCTTCACTACCCCCTTCCTTCAACTGTCAATCGGCCCCCCGACCCCCAAATCCTTGCTTTCCCTTTTGCCGACCACTTCTTGTGCCTCTCTCTCGACTCTCCTTCCTCTGCCTGGATCCCCCGACCTAGCTCTAGCCTATCACTCCTCCTCCGCTTCATTCTCTCGATCCTTCCTCCTCCTCCCTCTTAATCCTTTCTCCACCTTCCAGCCCTCGGACCCGAACAGATCTCCCCCTCGCAAAGCATCGTTCTTGTTCCTGATTCTTGATCGCTCCCCTAAAAGCTTCGCAAGCGAGTACCTGCCAACCTTGTTGTATTCGTACGCCGATCCATTTAAGTTTCGTTTGTTTGTAGACAGCACATTAAGTCAGCACAACACCATTGCGTGCAACAGAAATCCGCGGGGATGTCAGCAATAGATTCTGGAAGCAGGACGAGCAGCTCCTGCAGCGTTGCGAGCACTTGCAGCAATGCTTCTTCTACTTGTTCTCACGATGACGCAACGTGCAAGATAAACATCGCTCCGGTGAAGAAGGAAGCCTTCGACGAGCTCTTTGGATATTGTGATGCAGAGACTTTCAACAAGCAATGTGAGATCCTTGGGATTCGGAGGCCCAGCTACCAAGACTCGAGGAGGAAGGAGGACACCAAGATGCCTTGAGAGAGATAAGACTTCGATTCTTTTTCGACAGGGCAAGGTTGTACATTGTATTTGTAGTTGGACATTCATTTTAGCGTGCATCGAAGCGTTTATTAAGACGTAGGGGAACTCGGTTCAAAGATTCACTTTCGGGTTGTATTGTTTCTTTATTCTTGAAATGAAAGTAGAGTCAACCAGTCGTACTTCTTGTCCTCTATGCCGACGTGTTGCTCTGGATAATCTGCGCTTTCTGCCACTCTAATGTGCCCTGAAACCAAGTTATTCATCCTCCCGTCGGATCACAAACCGTTGGAAGTTGCCAACCTGTTTTGGTCCCTTTGGTCTTGTGTCTGCGCACTGCAACGCAAGTTCTGTTCCCATCTCCTGCAAAGCCTTCAATCCTGTTCCCTTGGAACAAGGCAACGGAACAACTGTGGATCGGACGGAAAGCGCACGATCATAAAGCAGCAGCAGCAGCAGCAGCATCAGGAGAAGCAGCATGCAAGAGCAGGAAAAAGTCACGATTTATTGTTACCCGCAAGTAGAGTTCCATATACTCCTCGGTTTCTGCTGGGTTTGTCACCCTACACAGATGTCAGAATGGCAGGCAAGATCACACACTGCATTACCACACTGTGCTTGCAACAGCCCTCGAGCTCTTGTCGTTCCCTGCAGCAAATCAGCCCTGACCGATCCTTTGCCTCAGCAGTATAATGTTGGAAATGAGAAACAGCATGATAATCACCGGTCAAAGTAAACCTATCTCCCAGGTGACAGGTGTATTTCCCTTCTATGTCCTGTTGCATCGAGTGCGATCAAATGATATAGCTCTCAACCAGAAACTTCAATGACATCCACAACAAACACCACTGATTTGATCAACAATGTCCACAACAAACTTCACTGAGTTCTTCAACTGTAATGCACAAGTCCATGTGGCAGAGTGTGTCTCAAACCAGCCCACACAGACTGACAAATCTGAACAGGCTCCTTCCTCACTTACCAAGTATGTTAGCAACGCCTCGATCCCATAGCGCTTGTCTCCAACATCAACCCAAACCTTCCAAGCAAAGTCAGCCTGAGTTCGACCACAAGCTCCACTGCCACGCTCACGTCTCTATTCCCGTTGAATGCGCAGAACGGGACTCCAGGCTTCCCTTTTCTAGACGAGAGCAGCTTGTCCTGAGATGCAGAGTCACTTTAATGCCAGAGCAGAATCCTCCTCCTCTCCACATACATCTCCCCCTCCAAGCCCCATGGCTGTAAACATGCTTGTTGCTGTCTGCCTTCTACTTTCACCCCCTCCTCCCCACCCCTCCCCCCCCCTACCACCTCATTCCCCCCCTTACCTGCACGGCCAGGGCTACATCCTCAAGAGCTTCATATGCGATGCGATCCTGTACAAAAAGCATCGTCAATCGGGGTGAACGACGACAGGTCGACTCTTACCTCAGCCTTCGTTGGAAAGCAGCCCACTGCTCGCTGCTTCCTGAGGAACTGAACATCGAGTTTCATCCTCTGGCACGCATCTCTCAGCGCCTTTTCGGCGACATCCAGCATGTCCTTGATGTCTTCGTCACTCCAGGATTTCATCTCCTTAGTATAGAAAGCAGTCGAATCCACCTAGGTGAAAGTAAGGGAGGACGTAGCGCCAGGTGGGAGAGGACGTACCTCTTCCATCTCATAGTTCTCTTTGATGCGGAAGAGGTAGTTACACTCCCCTCCCACACAGTAGAACTTGCTTGTAACGTCTGGTGGACTCTTCTTCTCCCGCATCCTTTCCAGAAGGCCCTTGAAACGAGACGCATACCGCTGCGGCTTGCCAGGATAGCCCTGACATTCTCAGTCATATGCATCTCAAGCAGAGAGGCAATCGCTCACAGCAGCGGTGACGACAGCTATGTAGATGCCTGATTCCATGAGGGCAAGTAGAGCGTCGACAAGCCAACAACCCACCTCCAGGTCCATACCATGCTCGTAGAGGGTGTCGTCAGCATCGAAGGTAAGGAGTTTAGCCTGTCCCTCCAGAGCATACACTTGTGCGATGTTGAAAATTTGTCTTATCTCTGAGAAGGTGGGAGGAACATACCTCCGCTGCTCAACCGCGACGCTCTTCCCGAAGTGGTCCAGGGCCTTGGTCAGAGGAAGCTCGTTGAAGAACTTGCCGATCTCCGGGCATTTTCTTGACAACTCGCTCCCCTCCTCACACTCGATGTGGTTCTTGATCAGGGCTTCACATTTGAGGAGAGCTTCTCTCAAAGTCAGGGTCATGTCCCATTCTGAGCTCAGGATCCACTTGAGGATCAGCTCGAACAGCGGGTCGCTTTCTTTGAGCCTTCCCATCCGGCTCTGCAGGAATGAAATTCAGGACGAAACGCCATTAGAGGAAGGACAGTAGCGACAGCAAAACACTCTACTACACCACACCTGCACAACTCAATCATCGTCTTCCTTCCCCTTCCTGCAGCTTCCTTTTGTCTTCTTTGTCACCCTCCCGCCTCCTTCGGGTTCCACTCGTATCCTTCGCCCCCCTCCAATTTCCTTCCTGCTACTTCTGCTGTTTCCTTCCCCTTGATCACATGCCCCTCTTTCTCCTGATGTCTCTCTTCCTCCTCTCTTGTTCTCCTCCTCCTCCTCCTCCTCCTCTCGCCTCCTCCTCTTCAGTGCAAGCCGTGCTACGTCTTCTTGCAACTGGACGAGAAGGGGATCGAATGCGCCTCCTTGAAAACAAAAAACAGGAAAAAAGCAAGAAGAAGAGCTGTAAAAGAATAAAAACAAATGCGTAAAAGAAACAAAAAAAATTATGATGTGAACATCCGTTGGCGCACAGATTGGGGAAAGAATTAAATCAGGTTCATTTGCACGGGCTTTAAATATCCCCGACACAAAATTAAAGTGACATTAACGTGTGTCCATCGTGTTTATTCTGTTTCCCGCCAAGTTCCAATTTGAACAGTGCTCATACGCTCAGAACATGCCGCCGGCATCGTACGTGCTGAAACCGGCACAGGTGAAGCCGTATGTTCGCTACTTGGCATGCAAAGCTTTCCTCGAAGTGTCAGCTGAAGGGATACGAAAGAATGCAGAGCTTGCCGTTAGGATGCAACAAGTGTATCCTAGACATGCACGTCTTTTTGTCGAGGAGCATGCACGTGAGATTCAAGATATCGTTATCCCAACATTACCACAGTTGCTCTACAACCCTGGAAAGAACCAACCCTGGGCGGGAACCAGTCTCATCGAATTCTTTCATGAAACCCGCTCGGAAATCAACAATGTATACAATCCGGAGTTTCTGGCTGAGAAAGGAAACCGAGAGGAGTTCCCCTCCGGGCGAACCTTAGAAGATCTACGAATGGCCACCAAAGCACGCTTGTGGAATAAACACCAACTTGAACTCGTCGAGAAAAACAGACAATTGCAAGGGGAACCTGCTCAGGATGCTGTGCGTACACCAGACGGAGAATCTGCTTCCGTGAGGAAGGGTGGCCGAAAGCGGCAAATGGAGGTAATTCCCTTTGATGTGAATGACCCAGCACATAGACATTGGACTCCCATTTCATGGATAGCCTGGATACATCTGGGCATGGGATCTGAAACACCCCACGAGAAGTTTAGTCTGCAAGCTAGTGGAGAAACGGTGCCAGCGGAGAACGTGCTGACACCTGATTCAGTGGATAGGCACTCCAGAAGTTGGTCTGAACAGCGGCGCAAGCGTCGTTTGGGTGATTCAGAATGGGGACAGCTCGATCAACCATTGTCCCGTGTATTGAACGATGTTTGCACGGTCATGAGTGAAGTCAAAGACGCTTTAGTGGATATGCGTCTCGCTCGAGAAAAGGAACGCATGGCCAGAGAAAGGGATCGCAGGACCAGGGAACTTCGCGTTCTCTGCGAGCTTACCAAGGATACACCTGAGTATGCCAAGCATCATGCAGAGCTTGTGAAGCATCTACTGTCGCCATCAACATCCTCGTCCGACTGCCTTGAAGATGGGAGAAGACTTGATTTTCACAGCGTGGGAGATGAACTTGCAAGGAGAGCCGGTACTTCTGGATCATCATCTCAGTGCACCGGTGCATTGTCTCAGCGTACTCCTTTGGGAAATCTCAACATGTAGGTTTCCAAGATACAAGAAGTTGATCTGTTTCATAAACAGAATTTATGTACTATCCACAAGTGTTATCACACCGAGCCGACATGCCTCGGTGTAATGTACAATTAAAGCATTTTGTTAATCGTATCATCCATCTTCCAGAGATATCGTGAGATCATCCGGTACTTCGTAACTGGGACGCCTGCTTTCTGTGGACATGTATCGTGAAACCAGGTGGGAATGGAGAAGACTAGACGCATCCCGCATGTGACTGAAGTCCGTGTCACTGTGAATACGTAAATCTCCTTGCATGTCATGATTTCCCCGAATGGGCATGCCAGCATCATCCTGGTCAAACAATCCTGCAGCACCTGTGAAGTCATCATCCATCTCAGCGATTGTGTGATCATGTCTCTGAATGATGTTCTGCAAAATGACACATGTGAAGAACATGTTGTCAATCTCAACCTTGTACTTGAAGTTGCACGGAAGTTTGAGACACCCGAATCTACCTTTCAAGCGCCCGAAGAAACACTCTACATCCTTCCGGCACGATTCCAAAGCTTGCGAGCATTGTTGTTGGATCAGACGTCAAGCAACACCTTCCATCGGTGATAGCCCTGGTCCACCATAAGCCACAAACCAATGTGTCGACGCTGCAAACTATCCCCTGTATACACATCATATTGTTGGTCAGCATATCGACCTCTACCATCGTCATGATACCACTTCTGTTGGCAGACAACCTCGAAAATGCTCTGAAAGATGATATTCGGTACTCGAAAACGGCGCCTGATGAGTTTGCTTGTACTGCAATTAGTTGAGGATTGTGCCATTTCTATCAACACTCTCCCCACACGGATGACCAGTACTGACGGGTAGGCAACCCGACACTTGCAACCCTACGGACGTGTCCGAACTCACGCTTTCGTGATGGTTGCATCGTTACTGAGTCCAGAGGAGCCAGCAAACAGGCCGAAGCACGATGAAACTGTTCAAGGACGACATCAAGTTATGTATAATCTTCATCAAGTGCTTCATCTCCTTCATATTCATCGTCATCGTCACCATATTGCACAGTAGAAGACGCAGTCCACATTTGATTCTGCACCCCCTGCGCTAACGTCCGGCCTAAGTTAGTAAGTAGTAAGGAAAAGAAAAGAAAAGAAAGAAAGCATATGGCGACAGACGGTATTTTGATGAGATTCGAGGTTTGAGCTGTCGGCGCAGACAATGAAAGATTACAGCATGTGATGGGCTGGGATTAACAAAGAAGGAAGAAAACAAAAGAACATTTATTGACGTCAAGCTCGCAATCTCAAGTTAAATTCCAGCTCTCAGGAATTACTTTGAAAACTTGCTGATCTCATCAGTTGCTGAGGGGCTCAAGTCAGAAACACAGGGAGCCCAAACATGGCTACATACTTCATCTCCATAAAACAGCTTCACTCTCTTCTTGCCATCTGCCCCACAGGACATCTTTGCGATGTATCTAAACATCAACAGAGAAGGTAGTATCAGAAGAGATAAGGAGAAATGATGCCTGAGTACTCACTTTGACGCTTCGGTTCCCAAGCCTTGCTCCATGATCTTACCATTGAAGACCTGGGCATACATGATTAACAAGAGCAACATGTTCAAGAGATGGTATACAGTTCCCCTTGCGCAGTATATCAAACACTCATCAGCTCCCATGTTATTGACGTCGACACAGGCTGTAACATGCCCAACGCCTCGCTCGTCAAGCTCGTTCTGCGCAAGTGCCTGCAATGAAACTCAACCAAGGAGCTCAACTTGCAAGGGCATAATCTACCTTGAGAGTATTTCTCATCCCCTGTACGGCAACGATGCACGCGGCAACCAACATGGTCACTTCCGAGCCATCATCCGCTAGAACCTCTTTCCCCAGCATCGTAGTCAGCACATGTCATCGCTCTCAACATTTCAAGTTCTCACTGTTCTTGGTGAGAAATTCGAAATTATCCTCCCCCAAGTCTGCGCGAAGACGAACATGCACGCCATTCTTTCCATCGTACTTGCTCAACAAACCCGCGATAGCACCACAGGCAGCTCTCGCCTCCCTGTAGTTGGACTCCTGCGCCTTCCCATATGTGACCTGAGGCCAAGTATATGAGTATCAATGGACCTGTTGATAAGACCCTCTTACCGTCCCACCCTGTTCTGAATGACCACAGTGCGTGTTGATGTCGATGTTGACAAGGATGAATGAGCGCGGGTTGCCGTTATACAACTGATCTCTAATCGACTTGTCTATCTGATGAGCGACAGTTACATGAGCAAGAGTGGCTCTGGAAAAAGCATCAAGCACATTCTTTTGTAGAATGTCTCTTACCCAGAGTCTGTTCCTCCTCCTGTCGGGCAGAAGATTTCAGGTTTGCTTTCTCCAACTTCAGTCAAAGAGGCAAAACGGCTGGCAACCTGACGTGTAAAACCATTATCTAGGATGCTGTCTGACAGCAACAAAACAATATGTGAACATGTCCACGCTTACCGTCCTCGTGTATGCTTTGACTGCATTTTGACAGATGCGATCACCGCAGTTGGTATATCCGCAGCTAGTTTGACATGTCAGAAATTGGTTCATCGACATCTTAGCAGATTCACGTCGTGATGACGGATGGCAATGTCAAGTCGGCCGAGCATGCTTGACAAGTCGAACGACTGTGATTGAAACCTGCCGGGCGATGAGAAGAAAGGAGTCAAGCAACACTGACTTTCATCACCCAACATCAACTCGTCGCGTATCAGCTGAAATCCCTTGGTTAGGATATACCGGTCAGCTACTTGGTCCAGGTGAACTTGGTACGGATCTCTTTCTTCTCCAAAACTGCACATGTCTCAGTTCCAAACCATGACAGTTTCATGAAGACAACTTGATAAAGAGCCTCCACATCTCATCCAGTCGTTTCCTCGCGATTGATGGATCAAACTCTGCTACTAAATTCTGATCTTCATAGCTGTACACGTGGATGGTTGTGCTCGGCGTTGAGAGTCGCGGCGTCTCAATGCGCTCCACTGAGATCTGCTTGTTGGACGGATGGAAGATTCGCTTTTGCAGCGAGATGTTCTCGTCATGGTCACTGGGGTAAGGTATCCTGATATCTTTCTCCAAGAAAACTTTTGTCGAGTTGAGACCTGAATCTGTTTCATGTCAGATTTGATTCCAATGAACAAGCATCAACAACCGATCGGCTTGTTCCTTGCTGAAGATGCCGCGCCCATCTTGCTGCTCGCTCCCACTACACCCGAACGCTACAAAGTGATCTCGTGACCCCTTCTTCACCCACCTTGTATCCTTTCCGAGCAGTCACAAGGCTGTCCACCAATCATGTCACTTTACAGTACCTCGTCACCCACCCGCAAGGGTCCCCTGAAGTTAACCACCCGAGCTCGCGGAACAAACAAAGTTAGGAGGAGTCCGTGCGGAGCGCAGGGGGATCGGGGGGTGAACGAGTGGGATGGAGGGGGGTGGGGTAGGGAGGCATGAAGCTTGCCAGGCGGAGCCTGTACTACGGTAAGTTTAGATCAACTGCGACGCTTCGAATTCGAGAGTCGCGCCCGCTGGGCTGACTTGAGGGACGTGAGCTGGTCGCTACTACTGGCCTACTGGGACATGAGTAGCCTGTGGGAACCTCGGAAGTTGACTTGCGCCCCTTGGCCCCCTGTGACTCCATCGGGACCCGTGGTATTCCCGGGGGAAGGGAGGGGTCAGACAATTTGAATCGGAGATGTTCCATCATCGTTAACTTGTTCTTGTAGTACCAAGGAGGCCGCCGGGACCTCAACGCACGGTAGCGGCTGGACTGACCCCCCATTATCATCAGATTGACTAGTAGCCACGGGTACTCCCTCTGCTTCCCGAGTCGTGACTTGCTAGACTGAGAGGCCGCAGCCTAGGGAGTCTAGTCACTAGCACATCCACTAGTCAAAAACAGCGCAGGTTCCCACTGAGCCTTTCATTCAGCCTGCTGCTGTCCGGGAGCCCGGGACAGCTTGTACCCCGGGTCGAGGGGGGTACTACGACGATACCGTAACCCCCTCCTCCCCAGGGGTGGGTACATTTGTCTGTACAAATGACCAATGCCAACCGAAATGGACCTGTAAAGCGAACCGTGGCATGAAAGAAATCATGTTCCACCCTCTGCCCTGCCCTCTACCCCCTTGGCTCGACCCCTCCAGCCCCCGCAGCCCTGCCCTCCCTTCTCCTGCCCTCCCTTTCCTCGAACCCCTGCAGCCCATCCTGTCCTTATCTCTCCTAAGCCTGTCAGCTACTCAGGTTCAGCCTAATCTTTGTTCAGTCCATTGTGTGGTCTCTTCACGCCTGCGACTGTCTGCCCCTGCCTACCTTGCTCCTAGTGGCTGATCAGTGGCCTCGGCAGTATCCTATCGCCATGGCCCGTCACATTCTTCTCTGTGTTGTAGGTAATCGAGTCATGCGTGGCTGGACAAGTACGAGACTCTGAATCTTGTCCCAGTTGTCTTTCATATGGCTCTTTCAGCTGCCGCCATAACCGTGCGGGAAGAATGGAATCAGCAACGATGGTCTTTAGACTCTCCGTACCCCAACAACTGTAGCACTCATCTCCGTGATCGTCAAAGCTCGCAATCCAAGACTTTGGTGATGAGCATTTGATTTGCTCCTCTCTCACTCTGACTTGTTTGCTCAGTTCCTGACGGCACTCGGCGGCGCCATTGGAGCTGGCATCAGGTCCAAGTTGAAGGAAATCCCAACAGCATTCGCGTTTCCCTCGCCTGAAATTTTCTCAGATTTGCTCCGCCGACTTATTCAGACAGCAACCCTGGAAGCACCTGATTGGTGAGCGTTGGTCTTGCAGCAGCGTCTTTGGCTTATCACCCTCTTGTCAGTGCATGGCATCGGAGCCTTCCTCCTCGGCCTCTTCTCCCATCCCGTCTTCCCGAAAGATGTCTTCGCCCTCCTAGTCGCCGCGTTCCGAACCGTCTCAGCCATAGTGACAGTGGACGTGTACAACTGTGTTGCCAGCGGCAATCAGGTCTGGCGACCCCCAACATCCACTTGGAAGGTGTAGCTGACTAGTCTGCTACAGCTCTTGGCATGGTTCTACCTATGTACCTCTTTGCCAGGTGACGTGGCCGCATCGTTTGATGTCAGTTGGGTTTGACGTCTTCTTTAGCAAACTTGCTTATGAATCATGTCGGCCGCACCATTGCTGCATTGTTCCAGAGGCTTGCCTGTACACTTGCTGATTTGTCCTGAATGTCCTGTCCTGTATTTGTCTGTCGCTGTTTTCGTGGATTATTGTCTTGATGTGTAGCTCATAAGTTTGTCGATGTGTTTTGAATTCCACCTTGTTGAATATCACCTTGTCTAGATTGTGCATATGTTTTCTTACTGATCAAGAAAAGAAACTTGTCGATCAAATAAAGCATCATCGCCGAGTGATTCTGATTGCAAGGAATGCATTTAATTCCCAACACACACATGGTCTCTCATCGTCAAAACAACTCAGCTGTTAGTACGACAAGCAGACATGGCGCTGGAAGATAAAACTTCTTGATTGTGGTGTACATTGTGATACCTTCACGCAGTCTCAAGATCGAGCATCTATCTCGTCGATCACGAGACTTGTCGGCTAATCAACTTCTCCTGCATCACAGAGAACATGGCGCTGTAGCTGAGCTAGAGCTGGCGTCCGAGCACTGAATGATGAAATCAGGGCTGTATGGTTTCGAGGGAGAGAAGCAATGGACGGGAGAAGGGAAAAGAACGACCGGAGAATTGATTGCAAGGATGTAGAGCAGGAGAGTTGAGCAAAGAGGGCGAGCAGACACGATGAAGCATTCCCGTTCCCCAGGGCCTCTGAACACGAAGACTTTCGTGAGTGAGGGAGGGGTGCAAGGAGAGGAGGAAGGGGTGGAAGGGAAGGATACAGCCGTGAGCTATTGACAACTCTAGCTATACAACGATAGAACTCGCGGAAATCTGCTCTTGTCAAGATGTCGTAGAAACCGAGCAGGTGGGGATCTGTTGCCACACGTCAAACTTCTCAAGTGACATCAGCTCGTCAAAACTCACGTACCTGACCTCCACAATACAATGCTCCCCGGTCTCTTGCAGGATCGTTGTGCTCCTCCAATGGTTAGATGATGTCGGCTTCTTCGGGAGCACGAGCTGCGTCTCCGATGTCGGTCAAGCCTGTGACGGAGTTCAGGTGATGGCTGCTCAAGTATAGCCACTTATTCCCGTGAGACAAGCGCAACATCCGTTCTTTGCCCCCCCACTCTCGTGCTGCTCCTTCCGACCGTGGAGGAGGAGCGCATGCCACGGTTCTATAGGCTCCTGCTCTTCTTCTCCTCGGCCATCGTTATCTCTTGCATGGCTGACTTGCTCGGGACCCACAATGTTCTTGACACTGTTGGGACTGAACCACAACTACAAAGGTGAACAAGAACTTCTCATGTGACATCTCAAGGCATCTTGACTTCACTACAGCAGCCGCCCGGCGGTCACCATGATGACCGTACATGGCTGTCAGATGGCTCCCTGAGGGGAACTCGCTTCCTGATTTTTTTGTTTTGATCTTTTCAGTCAACAAGAATGGTGGGGCCTGGGGAGCTTGTGGTCAGAGTAGCCTGAGCTACAGCAGTAGAGCTTACCAGCCATGGGCATGCTTGCCTCTGCGACTCCTCTCGCGCTTGTATGCTTTCTGCCAAGCTCTGTGCTACGTCGCAGGCCCAACAAGAACATCACAGTAGAGGATAGCGGATGATGTGCAGTGTTTGCTCGGGTAGTCCAGGATAGGCTGCATCTGTGCCGTGATGGTTGCAGATCGTGTTTGTTCGCACAACTGTCGTAGTTTCAAACACGATGAATAGTACAGGGTGAACATTGATGGTCGATGATAACGTGCATTTGCAGAAAGAGGAGCGTTCGAAAGTAGCTGGTGTGGAGGCCGTCGACAGGTAGACTGAGGAGGAAGAGCGTAAACTGAGGTGGGATCTCGTCACGCCGACGTCCCTCAAGCGGTTTATACATCAGGCATGCTCTTGCAAGCATCCGGTTGGCTTCTTGTAGTGACCAGCATGGTTTCGCTTCGACCTTCAGTCGGATTTCTCTCGAGCCTGATAGTTCCTGCGAGGCAGGTTGCTCTACCATCTCGCTGCTCTGTGAGAGGACCATGCCACAAGACGCTCGTGATGCAGCAAACAAGCTCAGTGACAAGACAAGAATGTCTGCAAGGGTTTTCTCACAAGTTCTCCATCTATATCGAAGACACTGTAAGCGCCGTTACAGATACGATGAAGGCAATTTCGCTAACATCATGGTCGACAGGATTGTTATGGTGTTGTATACAACTGCAACTACCTCAAATTCTTCGACAGAGCAAGACAAACAGCTCTTGGGCTTCTTCCCCTCAAGAACCTGCGCAGAAAGGACGTAGAACTTCTGACCACCTACGTCGACGAGCTCCGCCTACCTGGTGCTGCTGTGCTGGGACAGGAGCTGAGGATCGAGTCGAAGGTTGTGGCATCGAAGGGGAGAGGAGGGATACAATGGGAGCAGAGCCTGATCTGTGAGGACACGGACGCTGTGCTGGCGAAGATGGAGGCGACGACCAAGTTTGTTCATGCGTCCTCCACCGGCATAGGCGATGTTCTTGAAGCATTCCGTGGGAATTCCTCCGTGCGTTCATGGCTGGAAGAAGGAGAGGAGGAGGAGGAGGCTGCAGGAGAGACCAGGACGTTTGTGATGGAGGGGAGAGTGCACGAGGAGGAGGTGATTGTTTTTGCCGACGACTTCGATGGGAGGGGGAGGATTTCGGACTTGAGGTAAGGGAAGGAAGCGGAAGATGGTTGCCTTCTGACTAGAAAGCTCGACAGCATTGCGAAGATGTTTGAAAGGAACAGAAACATTGCCCTTGGCGGACCTGCTGGGTTGAACAGGCTAAAAGAGGAGGGATTTCTCGTTGTAAGGACCCTGTTGTGTTCTTGTCAACGACTGCATGTCCTTTCACTCTCACAACATTGTTTTTGCGTTTTGTTGTTGAGTTGTTGCTTTGATGTATTCTATCTCTTCCGATGTTTCTGTGTACTTCTAGTTTATCTGTTACCTGTCATTGTGATTGTTCTGTTTCAAATGTGTTCATCGGTTGTTCTTCAGCTTGTTTGGTATCTCCTCCCATGTTCTGCCATCCTCTCATTTCCTCTTACCTGCTCTCCTTCAGGTCGTTACCCATTTCAACGATTTTTCCATCCATGATGAGATCCCCTGCGAGGTTGGAGACACTGTTCGCGTCAGATCTACATGTCAACTCCGCAAGTCAAAGTTTTCTTTCTTTCAGGTAACAATCCCCTTCACATGTGTGTTGTATTTCTTGTTGCCGTGTTGAGAACGCTTTCTCTCATCCTTTTCTCTTCTCTTCTCGCTCCAACCAAATTTATTCCACATAGTATTGAGTCATCGCTATACAGGAAGTCGTGGCAGCGAGCGGAGAGACGAAAGCAAAGGTGATTATGAGAGGGAAGGAAGGGAGAGGAGGAGATTTGGGAACAAATTGAGTAGAGGAGGGAGAAGAGGGAGAGCTCGTGGTAGAAGAGAAAGTTCAGAGATGAAGAAGATAGAGAGGAGGGAGGAGGGAGGAGGGAGGAGGGAGGAGAGTGGAGGGAAAAAGAGCAGGGAGGAGGGAGGAGGGACTTCTTTGCGTCTGATCCCAAAACAGGCAAGGATCACATGCCTGTGTATCGACGCCGAGAGCAAGAAGCTCAGAGCACCTCCTGAGTGGGTCACGTCACAACTCTGACCGGAGGAGGAGGCGAGCAGCATCCTCTCCCTCCGTCACAAGGTAGCAGAACCATCGTTATCGTCCTTCTCCTCCTGCCACTGGCTGCATCGATGGATACACGCGGGGGTCCAGGTCCTCCACCTTGACCAGCACGTTCCTGGGGAAGGAGATCAGGAGATCTGAGGTGAGAACGAGCTAGCAGAGCCAGGGACGAGCGACAAGTAAATCAACTGAAAGAATAGAACATTCTCGTCTTGCACGAGATGCTGTGGCATCACGAGAAATACTCAAAAACGACGGATAGCAGCGCAAACATCTCATCTCTCATTATACATGATCAACATAGAACAGCGCAAGCGTCTCCTCTCAGCACCCACACCCCACCTGAACTTGGCCGGACAATCACCCGAGTAGCAGATCTGCATGGTTTCGCTATCAAGCTCTAGCAGCTTGGTCTGGTAGCACTTCAACCCTCCTCCCTCCTCGTAGAACAGAAACTGAGAGAAAGCAAGCGTTCCCTTCCTCGCCTTCTGGTGGATGAACGTGGCTGTTTGCAGGTTTGCGCTCCCTGGCACCTTCTTGGGGGTCCCATTCAAGTCGATCCGGAGCAACTCGAACCAGTCGAGCTTGAAGGAGCCGAGGTAGGAAGGAAGCTTCATACGGACGTAGGTGACGAAAAAGGGAGTCCCATGCTCGTCTACCTCTACTGCACAATGAAACTGCAGCATCATCTTGACGAGCCGCGCGATCTGCAGCCCGACCTCGGACGAGATGCGGCGGATCAATGCGCCGACCTGCTGGTTGCGCATGAAGCTCGAGGACATGTGGCTCCAGAGGCTGGGGTTCTTGGTGTTCCTGCCTATCAGCTCGCTGGTCTGCTCGTCAAGATCCCACGGGGAGCCCTGGGACAGAAAGTCGTCGAACCGGAAGACTCCAGCGAACCTCTGGAAGTCGAAGCTGGTCCAGTCCTGGAGGTCAATCGACATCATCTGCATGGTGTCAGGCTTGTGAACCCTCACTGTCTCCTCCCGGTGGAGCTCGAGGAAGAGGAAGCGTCGTTCAGAGTCCACGGCCTTCGTAATGAGCATCTTGAAAGTGACATAGGCTATCCCGGCACTCCCTTGAAACGTCAGCACAGAAGCCTCTATCGCTCCCCTCTCCCTGTCCCCCTGGAACGACTGGAGGTATTCTTGAACCACAGCCACGTCTCTGTGATGGACCATGAAGAGGATGTTCATTCCAAGCAGGGGGCAGAGGGTGAAAGCTTGGAAGAGGTCCGACGCTGATCGACTGGCCGACAAGATCTTCAAGGTGTCAAGATTGAGCACCATGAAGTTGCACGAGCGCGACGAAAGCATCCCTTGCAACAACATGTCGCCAGAGAGCAGCTGGCCCTCCTCCTCCACCACCACCTCCTCCTCCTCCATGACATCCTCCTTGACTTCCTTGCGCTCGCTAGTCGACCCTCGCATCCTCTCGTTCCTTACATGAGCAACCGTGTCTTCCAGCAGCTGAGACACCGTCCTCTTCGACTGTAGCTTTCCTCCCTCGGGTGCCCTTCGAAGAGGAACCATCTCATCGAGCTGGGTATGCAGAGCATGCGTCCTTGCACGCTCGCCCTGCTTGCTGACTCTCTTGGTGTGTCGACGAGCCGCCGACGACATGGAAAAATAACGTTTCAGACTCTGATCTTCGACTCCTGCTGATGGGGCATGGACTACCCGTTTTCTCTTCAGCGAATCCTTCTCAATCGCTAATGTATGCTTCCAGAAGATTTCCTCCATGTGCCATCAGCCCGAGGGTTCTGTCAGTGCAGCCTGCCACGTTGTGCTGTTGGGAGGTTGTTGCAGATGCCGAGTTTGGGCCTGAAGGAGAAATCAAACAGTATCATGACGTGAATGGTCGAAGGAGAGAGGGTGAGGAGTGTGAGAATAGCGAGAGGAAGAGAACCAAGAGGATGCAACAGACTGAGCTGTAAAATATCGGGGATGGGCAAATAGACTCGAACAGTTGGGCAAAGGTGTGAAGCCAAGGCAGCAGAGAATCGCAAGAGTGTAGGAGAGACATGAGCCATTACAGCCAAGAACTTGGTGGAGAGAAGCAATGATGGAGATAAGAGTGAGATATGGACTCGGTGAAGTGCAATGATTGCAGAGGGTTTGAGAAATAATTTCATGGCAATCTAAGCTAGGGTCAATGAAAGAAAGCAATTGCTGTCCTCCTTACATACTGCAGCTGAGGGGTGAAATATGGGACATGAGTATGGACATCAGTGATACAAACGCAAGCCAAGAAAGGAGATGGACTTGCAGCATTTCTTCCCTTCTTTGCCTTCGCCATATCTAAGCTATCCCATGCTGGTTGCCTAATTTTCCGATACCTACTCTTCCACCATGCCTCGAATCTACTCCCTTCTCTCTGCTGCTGCTGCTGCCATATGTCGCCCTCTTCCTAAATCCTCCCCCTTTACACCTACCTCCTCTCCTATCTCCCTCCTCCACTCCCGCCCTAAACTGCTTCTGCCATTCCTCCGCACAAATCCTACACTACTCATCACCGCCATCTATATCATGTGGGAGACACTTGACCACCGGTGCTTCATCCCCCTAGAACGATGGTGGGGTGTTGCGTCTACCAGTACAATACGCTATTGAAATGACTTCTTTTCGAATCTTCTGCTGATGAAATTACGGTACCGGTCATAGGCAAGTCTCCTACACTCAAGGGGTCCATGAGTCGCACGTCGACCTCTGTGACCCTTTTTATTATTCTTCATGGCTACATTGGGGGGTGGGTAGTGAACAACCAAGAAATTCCCCAAGTACCCTCATTTTACCAATAAAACACCACCGGTCTCCATATTAAAAACTGTTGGCAATTTTATTCGTTGGAAACTCAAAGGGTCATTTTTAATGGGGGTGGGTGGGGTGGACTACGGAGTCGCATGGAGGCCTTTGGAAGGGGTTATATATATGCGCTGTGTTTTTAAAACTATTACTATTTTTAAAGGGCTGATGCTGACCCGGGGCCCGGGTCCCGGGGAATTTGGGGGTTTCAACAAAATCACTGAGAAACTTTACTTCTTTACTCAAAGTTAAGTCAAAGATCTTTACTCAAAGTTAAGTTAAAAATCAGTAGGAGGACAATCAGGAGAGTCGAGGATAGTACGAGACTCAAGTAGGCGGGGACGGGGGGTGGGGGCTGTGGGACGCTTCTGATATGGGAGGAGAGAGGAGGGAGGAGGGAGGAGGGAGGAGAAGAGGAGGAGAGGAGCAAGTTGGCCATAGGGAGGCACTCGCATCTTCCCCACGAAGAGATCTTGTTCGCTGAAGACATGTGGATGGGGCTCAGGCGATCCCTTCCTTCGACTCCCTTGCTGCTGCTTTGCTGCTGTATGATGTCGGAGAGCCATCTGCCCATCAGGGATGGTTGGACCCAGCAAGAGGACGACATTCTTGTCGCGCTTGCTCGAGATGCCAGTGTAAGGTGGACGACAATCAGCAGCATTCTTGTGAACAGAACGGCAAAAGCATGCAGATCACGGTACATGCGGCTGGTGAGCCGGAGCAGACAGCAGATGTCGAAGAATGCAAGAAGCCACATGGCTGAAGAGACCGTGTTTGATGATGATCTGCTGTCTGAAGATATCAGAGGGCGTCAGTTTGCCGGTTCCGAGGAGAAATGGAACTTCTGCTTCAATATGTTGTGTCGCTACAAACATGTGCACGGTGAGATCCTTTGTTCCTGTCTTGTTACACCCTGCCAGCATCATCACAACAACCATCACCATCATCGTCATCATCATCATTCCCATCGGCATTTCCACCACCGCCACCACCACTACCACAACGACCACAACCATCGTCTTCGTCGTCGTCGTCATCATCATCATCGTCATCATCTTTTCAGACATTTTTGTCTGTCCAGAGCTGACGGTGTGATAATGGTTGCCTCCATCACGTCATCGAAACTTGCACACACTTCCTTCTGACTCTTTTGGTGGTGCAGGACACTGCTGCGTCCCAAAGAGATCCAAGAGGTACAGGACGCTGGCGTTGTGGGTTGACTTGCAAAGAAGAATGAAGCGATCGGATCGACTTGAAGCTGAGAGGGAAAAGATATTGAACGATATTGGATTCGTCTGGAACGCACTGGAGAAAGGCTGGTATTCTTCTTTCAACGACCTGGTTCTCTTCGCACAGAACTTTGGCCATAGCCATGTTCCTTCTGATTTCTGCCAAAACAATGCGAGTCTAGGGAGATGGGTGAGGGAGCAGAGGAGGAGGATGAAGAAGCAGCGGATCTCAGAGAGCAAGAGCAAGTGGCTTCGATCCATCGGGTTTGTGAGCGATCGTCTGTTGCATAGATGGAACTCAAACTTGGAGAGTCTCATCCATGCCGCCAACAGCCCCAGCTCGGACGCTGTGACGGAGTGGAACTTGATCAAATGGTTTCGGAGACAGATCCTGAAGAAGAGGAATGGAAAACTGTCACAAGAAAGGTAAATGGAGGGGGGAATGGGGCGGGGGCGGTATGAGGAGGGAGGAGAGGAGAAGAGAAGTAGTGAGGAAGGGGAAGAGAAAGATATCTGTCCTTGATCTCCCCCCGTCATCTTCCCAATACCATCCTCCTTCCCTGTCCAAATCTGCCGCGCCCTTTATCCTCAGCTCATTGCCTTCGATGCCTTGCTGGCTCAAGTTTTTGCTGGCATTACTGCCCTTAACTTGCTTGCTTGATCAGGCAAGAAGTGCTGATGAAGCGAGGGCTTGACTTCTGCAGGGTAAGAAAGCGATCTTGCTGCTGGGACAGGATGGTAATCTATTCTCTCTCGTTTACATCGTCCTTTTCTCCCTGCTTCCTTACCCCAACTCCTCATCCTTTCCCCTCCCCATCCTCAACTAACTTCTCGTGCTGTTGTCAATCTCACAAGTTTTTCACTTGTAATCTTCTTCTCCTTCAGTCCGCCTCCTTCTCTTACCTTGCCTTCTTTACCTCACTTTCTCTCTCATCACAATTCTTCGTTCTGTACCTCTGTCTACGAACGAATCTCCCTCCCTGATCTCCCATGCAGATCAATTTGTTACGAGAATTCCGCGGTGCAAACGGGCACAGCAACGTCCCGCGAGATTTTCGAATAGGAAAAGATCGACTGGGAGAATGGGTACACCGGGTGCGTGAAACCAAGTCACTCGTTGTTGGTGTTTGTGATGGAGTTGTGATGAAATTATGATGAGATGCTCTGAATTTTCTCATGACCTCAAGTGTTGAACAAGCAATGTTGGCATTTATTGATTTCTTGCATTTTCTTGTTGCCGGCTCGCTTGATTACTTCCTGCCTGCCTCTAACTTCTCTAGCTCTCCTTGTTCTTTCCTATCAATCTGTGTTGGTTCATGCCTTGCTCTCATTCCTTTCTCTTCCCTCGTATTTTGATTTGACAATCGCTTGCCACAGCAACGCAGTGCCTTCAGCATGGGCCAACTGACCGATGACTGCAAAGAGGAGTTGATGCACGAAGGATTCGAATGGAGCAACACGCCAGAGATGGATATAATTTGCTTTCAGAATGTTTCATCCAACCACACGGTATCTCCTTCCAGCTTCCGCTTTGTTTGTGTAGATTTCCTTTGATCTTTTTCTTTCTCATTCTGCCTATCTCCTTTTTCTCCTTGTGACTGCACGAATTTCCTCCTCATAATCGGAGGACTTGGCTTCACGACTCACTGCATGTTGCAAACAACAGATGGCATCGTCGAGTTGGTCCAAAACGCGACTAAGTGAGGAGCAAGTTGCGAAAATCTTCCTTCTCCGACCAAACTTCGCCAATGTGTCGACCTTCGACTTGAGTAAGGCTCCTTTCCTGCACCGCCCCGCCCTTGACTGGGCAACTTGCGGGAACTTGCAGGCAAGTCTTACAAAGTGAGCAAGAAGACGATAAGAGACATCTGGAACTTCAGGACGTGGACTCGGGTCACCCTGCCGATGTTTCAACAGTACCTTGTCGATCATGTCAAGCTAGAAGTCGATCACAAGCAGGTCCGCTCCTTCGCTCCCCGCATCGTCTTGGCATGTTCAATCTTCTCCTCGCTGTGTTCGTTTGATCCTCGCTGACTCCCTTGCAAGTCGATCCTTGTCCTCCATGTGTTGCTCTCTTTCAGCTCTCTTCGTACCTTCATGTCACTCCGTGCTTACATACCCGATCTTCATCCTCCTCTTCCTCCCACCCTCCCCTTCCTCCGTTTCTCACTTGTACCGCAGCTTGGCAGCCCCTTCCTTTCTATGCAGAACGTCTCGGCTCCTCTCCTCGGCCGCAAGCAGCGGCTCCGCCTGATCTCGCATGCCTCTTTCTGCCGCCTGCTTGACGAGCACCAGCTCCACCTCTGCTGCAGGTCAAGGCCGCAAATTGACCGCGAGCTGGTTGTCAAGACGAGATGCAGCTGCTGGAGGTGCGACGAGAAGAAAGGTTTCCACTTCAAGGAGCAGGAGGAGCAGGAGGAGCAGGAGGAGCAGGAGGAGCAGGAGCACCAACTGGAGGAAGAGTTGACAGGGAAGAAACGGTCATTTGCCGTCCAGGGCTTCCATCGAGCAAGCAAGCTTCATGGTCCCAGTAAGTTTCCCAGCACAGGCTCTATCAACTCCTCCCTCCCGTTGGAAGGTACCTTTCCCCTCCTTAGCAGCTTCCTGTGCTTCGTTCCCTTCTTCTTGCCCTGCGTCCTCATGACCCGCGTTCCCCTCTTGCTCCTCCTCATCCTCGTCCTCATCCTCATCCTCATCTTCCTCCTCCTCCTCCTCCTCCTGCCTTCTGCACCTGCCCCCGCTTGCACACCTGCTGCTTGCTACCCTTCCCCATCTCCTTTCCTTCTTGTTCGAATGCCATTTCCCTCCTCTCCTTCCTCCGCCGCCCCCTCACGACAACATTCCAGGGTGGCTCTGGCCGTACTCGGACCATCTCGGCGCTGTGAGCTACTTTGACCTGCCACCGTCGGCATGACGAAGGGAAGAAGTCCGGCTGCTCACGCAGAGAAGGAGGGGGAGAAGGAGGAAGGAAACGCCACGTCTTCGAAATGGTCCCTGCTCCTGTGTGGGATCTCCTTGGGCTGGCTGTGGATGGCGGGAAGAGACGAAGGAGTGTCTGGAGGAGAAGTACCTGCGAGGTCAGAGAGTGAGCGAGAGAGCGAAGGAAGGGCAGGAGGAGGAAGAGGAGGATGAAGAGGAAGAGAATATCCAAATCTTTCACAAGCAAACATGGCAACGTCAAAGAACACCTTGTCCCTCATGTTCATCATACAGGCATCAATATCGTTGAGCCATATCTCCTCACCGTCTGCAGCGTGTTGATCGTGTCCCCGGACCAGCTCCTCCTCCTTCACTGGTACCAGCGGGATGACGAGGAGGTAGAGGACGGCGCCGCATGCTTGCATGGCGGCGGTCAGGAAGAAGGTCTCGCCATAGCCGAACTTGTCTATCAGGATGCCGCCCACCACTGCGCTTCCGCTCCACCTGCAGGCAGCAACAAGTCACGTCAAAGTCGATGAGGGGTGAAAGTGAAGTTGAAGTGACAAGAGCTGGGACGATGTCGATGATGGCAGGAGGAGGGAGGAGATGGCAGGGGAGAGGGGCGACAGCTTGTCATGTCATCAGAAAAGATGGGAAGATCAGACAGTCAGCAACAACTCTGTTATGTTGTGCTATGATGAAAGAGAAGAAGACTTGACAGCAAATGATTGGTCCACACACGATCAAAGGGCCATCATGCAGAAAGCATCAAGTTACCCAAAGCGAGAAATGCTGTCTAGAGAAGCCCATTTCGCTCGGTCCGCTTTCGTGACGAAGTCAAATGTCACAGACTTGAGAAGCTTTGAGAATAACATGTCAGCTTGCAAGAAGAAGCACGAGAAGGAAAAGATAGTGCCTGCGCTGTTGAGTTCATGAAAGCTGTTCGGATGATGAAAATCGGGACGATGATGATAGCCTGAGAGACTTCGTCAAGAAGTGAAATACTCCCAGATGTGAAATGTAAACGCCCTCTACGTAATCATCAACACACTAAAACGTTCTGCATCATCTCCATCTCCATCATCACCATCGTTCCAATCATCTCTTTAGTCTGCATTGTCATCGTTCATACCGTCTTCCACCACGCATTTTCGAGCCCCATCAAACAAAGAAGAAGAATCCCAAAGATCTTGAACATGAGGCAAACTTGCATTCTTCCGATCTTCAAAGACACTCTCTGTGCTACAATCTGCCATCAAAACATCAGAAACTCTCAGATAGATGTAGCAGCGGGAATGAATGAAAGCACCGCAAACAAAGACAGCATGAGAGGGCTCGCAATGTAGATGACGTTGACAAAGACAGGCTCCTGCCACCATTGTCATCACGTCGAGCGTCGTCGTAGCGAAAGTTGTACAAGGTTTGTTTCGTTCTGAAAAAACAGCGGAAAGAATTTGATGGTCATCCCCTGCAAACGATCATTATGCTCGGACAGCATTGCGATCGCAGCCATGTTCAGAAACTTACAGAGGCCAGAGCCGCTATGATGTCACTGCATATCAGAATCGCAGGGATCCAAAACTTTTTCTGCCTCATTTTCCTTGCATTGTCATCGTCGTCGTCGTCATCACAATCTCCGTTCTGATGTTGTTCACTTTGTTGAGACACTTCGTCCTCCCTTCCGTTGCCGAGGAGCTTGTCTGTTTCTTTGCTTTCTTCCTGACTGTCTCCGTCTTCTACTACATCTTCTAGATCCGACTTGCGGCACCCGCTGCAAGAAAGATAAGCACGAGAAGAAAGCAGGAGATTGTGTGCGACAAGACAACGACGCGGTTTTACAACAACATGGAACGTGAGAGTCAAACACAATATGATAGACGCTCATCAACTTCTGCAAAAAAGAGAACAAGAGGCAAAGTTTGACAAGGAGCCATGGAAAATACTCTCTCATAAAGAACACCAGCAAACCATTCCTACAGCAACACAGATGACAGTAGATCAAGAACAAACCATCAAATAACGCGCTTTCACAACTCACAGACAACATCATCACAAACATCTGGGAGGGAGACAACTTAAGTCGGTTGCCAGCTCGGCCCGCATGCCCTTCACTCGAAGCATCCAGCGCCTTCCTGTCCGAGAAGAAGCAGAGGAGGAATATAGGAACGAGCGCTACCATCATCCCCGCCGACAAGATCGGTCTTATGATCGCAATGGTCCACGAGTTGCCGATGGACAGGAACAGCGCTACGTTCAAGGTTGGGCCCGTCGCGTTCGCCAACGACACGAAAGTCGCCTTCCACGTGTAGAGCGACGATCGCCGTCCTGACTCCACTGAGTCGGCGAAGAGAGCCTCTAGCGCCGGGTTGGAAATGCCGGTGAAAGTTCCCCAAAGACACAACGAGACGAGCATCGAAATGTAGCTGCTGGAATCGCTCTGGCAGAACCAGATCGCAGCTTGTCCTGTCGTCAGCGCGAGCAGCCCGACTACCACAGCTACTTTCAACAACCTGCCGTGTAGATGAAGTCATCGACTGCTACACAGCTTCAGCTCTTCCCCACCTCGACCTCCCGAACTTGTCAGCAAGGTATCCAGCGGGGAGCGCCGAGATTGCCATGCAGACGCCCTGAGCTCCTTCGGCGAACCCAACTCTCTTGGTGCTGTTGGTCAACTTGAGGAGGTACACCGACAGCATCGCGTTGCCCCACATCCCGCTCGAAGTGTAGATGAAGAAGTCGTAGATGAAGCGTGTTCGAACCTGCCAAGATTGAGCCAGTCACTAGGGAACAAGGCAGGTAGTTGCAACTGATGATAGAATTGTTGCTGGTGATCTTACATTATGGTTGAGTTCTCGGAGAGAACCCAACATGGGTCGGAGGGGAACTGTTCAAAGCGTCAAACTACAAGTATTCCCTGCCTTCAAGGAGAAGTAAAGGTCCCAATGGAGGACTGGCTTGTTGTCATGTTGGAATAGAAAAGTAGCAAAGGAACAATGAAGGGAGAATAATGTTAAAGTTACAAGAGAACCATGTCAAAGATAGAAGGAGGATTTGAAAGAGTGTATGGCAATGTATCAAAGATAGGAGGATCTGAACGTCTATCAGAGTGGAAAGTTTGGAAAGACTATAAGAACCAAAAAAGGAGAAGAGGCAGATAGGAAAGAGAGAAAAAGACGGGAGTACAGAGGAAAGAGGAAAAACGTGGAGAAGGGAGGAGGGAGTAGAGCGAGAGGGGATGGGAGGGGGGGCGGGTAGGGAGAAGGGAGGCAAGGGGTGGAAGAAGCGAGGAGCAAGGTGAGGAAATTGAACAAGTTTCTAGGAACAATGCGGGCATGGAATGCAAGAAAGGAGAAGGGGAGAAGGCAGCTTGGTGGAGGGAGGCAGGAGGTGAAAGTGATCTGAAAGAGGACACAGAAAGGGGGCAGGGGAGAGGTGGAGTGAAGGAAGAAGTGGAAGAAAAGACAAGAGGGGAAGGGGG